CTCACCTTTCTCATCTTACATATTAAATAAAGATAAATAAAGAATCTGAGACTAGAGATTCTCTTGTGGGATCCACTGTGGGCCACTTCTCGGCATCTGAGTGTGATATACATACATCAACCTGAACAACAAATCTTCTTTTGCCCTTCAGTGTCATTATGATTTCAGTAGGATCGCTACAACTCAATATAAAAAAGTAGTACTCCATCAAGATAAATCATATGAAATGAAAGAGGCTAAATCTTTTCTCTATACCCTTTATTCCTCTGGTTAATTTAGAGAAGATTCTGGGTCCTTTGCAAAGAGCATCCAGGTATGCACTTTCAAAGGTACTCAAGCTCAGCTCCGCCTCTCTTTGTAGTTTTAGTGGAGCTGAACTTCAGACACACTTGACTACATGAAATAAATCTGTGGAATAATTAGAGAATGTGCACATAAGGCGGGTGAGAATGCTAGTTAAAGTATCAGTGAACTAAATGCGACAAGTATTCACAAGTTTGAATGAGGGTATGTGTTACTAACAAAAATATTTTCCACTGGGAAGCGGGCGTAGTAACAAATGACCAAAAACAAAATTAAAGGCTGGCAAATTTTGCAATACTTCTGGTGATTCTGTGGAATATGATATGGTAAACATTTATGAAGCAATCAGTGGCTGAACTGTGCAAAACCCAGACCACTGAATTGCCACATCCACTGTTGAACACTGCACTGCAGTAGGTTGCAACAGAACCAGGAAAAAGTATAGTAAATGATGGCACATTAGAAGAAAAAAAGCAAACAAAACAGAACAATAGGAATTAATAAAAGTCCTGGAGTGTTTCTTACTAAAAATATAATGCTTTTTGGACTACCATGTGCAGTGACGTAAAATCTGCAATAAATACTTGATGTTTCATCACTGGTTCAAATGCCTATCAACATGCATAAGTATTCAAGCTTTTTTTTTTGATTCCTCCCTCAGTCAAATATGAATTATTGCTTACAAAGAGAAATAGTTGTTTAACTGCTGTTACTGCACCTTCTGTACTGCAAGAAGTGTTAAAGTATCATATTTGAAATTTTTTGCAACAGGTGGTAATATAAAATGCAATAGTAGTAAATTTTGCAAAAACATCAGAAATTTGATAGAAATGAAAGTAATGGGAGGATCCATACAGCAAGCTTCAATTTTTCACTAACACAAAGGTTTATCTGCCATTATTTTTAAGGTAAATATTAAAGATATAAACTAGCTTCCAGAATGATTTTGATTTTTTGCTGGCCAAAAGGAATACCCACTGATAAACTTTTTGGGGAGTTTTATTGAAGGCAGATTGCTTTGAAAGGTAGGTATTGCAACAGTATAATAAAAGAAGGGTTACTGTTGGATAAGATAATACTACTTCAAGTCACTCAGGACTCATTTGTATAGCTGAAGACTCTGGGACTCTGCCTAACATGTAAGAATCTATTTAGGTTTAAAGAATTGTCTTTACAGTTTTAAAAAAATATATAATAAACTTATGAAACAAATACAATGCAGGCATCTTCTAAACTTATGTTTAGATTTAAAACTTTATTTCCACACATGGAAACTTGTAGGCACAAATTACTTCATATCCAGTTTTCAAATAAAACAATTGCTAATGAAATTGCAACAACACATTTTCATGATAACTATATACTCAATATTTCACATATACATATAAAAATCATGCATTTTAAAGATTCATTTTGGCTAGATCATATTTTCTGGGTGCTAAAATTCACTGTAGACTTTACATATTTTAAATATTCTTTATATACTTTTTAAAGAGATTAATATACTGATACCACATTCCCAAACAAAACACAAAATGTAATAAAGCTGTATATTTTCTTTATTTACCTTATATTTTTCTGTATTAAAAAAATAATTCTATAAGTAATAGCAAAACAAATGTTTTCAACCAGCTCACACTTATGCAAGATATGTAAAATCTAATAGTATAAACTAGGATGGCAATGCGAGGGTATAAAATATCCTCTCTTTTGAGACTGTGGTCCTTGAGTAATATTGCTTCTGTACTGGCCTTGCTTTCATACATGCAAGTCCATGAAATACTTCATGGCTTATAGTGTAGCAGGTGAGGAATCAACTGGGAACTAAAGGAAATGGTCCTCAAGCCTAACATTGGCAGCTACTAGTTTTGTTTCCGTATTTGCCATACAATTACTCTTTTCTTGCTATGAGGCACATTCAGAAAAAAAGTCCAGGGCCAAAATTCAGCCTGTAATATCTTTGCAGTCAGTACATTTTAAGTAATTCAGATCCCCTATACTGTACTTCTGCAAGATATTTTACTACGTAAATTATTTCTCCAGTTAAAGAAATAACGTTAAAAGGTCCTTTACATAGCCTTTTTTTTTTTTTTTTTCTCTTTGATTTTTTTATCATTATTCCATGCTGGCTGCTAAGGCATGTGCCATGCATGATGACCTTTGGCACTGGTGTGTTAGCATCTGTGGGCAACCTCCTAATTTTGATCTCTGTATGTCTCCTATAAGGTTGATCATGGTTTTTTCCCCAGCTTCATCCACAGGATCCAATGCTGTGACGTTGAGTATCATCAGCAAGTTTTTTATACACGGTCGATGTATAAACATTTATAAAAGTCTTACTAAACGTAGTGCTTTTAAATGCTTTGCATCCCTGATCTGGAAATACTGTTTGATTTATTGACAGACAGTCAAGAAAGATGCACTTGGCTGTGTAAGCCAAACCAGGCTTCTTTATGTGTTTCAGAAACTATTTAAGAATGTGAAGAGACAGTCTGACAAAACACAGAGTGAGCACTGAACTGCGACAGAGGAGATCTGCCTTTGTTCCTGGGTCTGCCACTAACCCACTGGGCAACCTATGTGCAGCTGTTTCCTCTCTTCATGCCTCACTTTCACCACCTGAGAAGTTAAGATAATGATGCTGTCCTTTTGCAAAAAGTGCTTTGAGATTTACGGAGAAAGAGTGTTGTGTAAGAGCCAGGAATTTATTGTCAATGAAGAACCTTAACTTTTTTCCCTGCTCTTTATAGTTTTCTCTTCTAATGCAATGAAGAAAGCGCACACAAAAAGTCTTTCTGAAATCAGTAGGAGCTTCCCATTTGATTCTACTGGTGCCAGAATTTCTTCTGAGTGAATGACAAAAGTTGTGCTCCTTTCTAGACAGTTGCTAATAGCAATTCTTGCTCAAAGAAATGTATACTATCACTCTACTTATGAAATACCTGCACAGCTGTTAGAAAGGTGGGAAGGTAAGCAAGCAATAACTCTGAGAGAAACAAGGTAGCAATTTTCAATGCAACTACTGCATTTGAGCATCTCCTGGAAGGTATTTATAATGCAACAGCATGCATGCTAATAATATTGGTACTTGACTTCATTTTCCCATGCTTCTTGACATAAACATTTACTAAAAGTATGGTAGGCTTTTTTATTGGTTCAAAACAGTTCCTAAGGTGCAAATTGTGACTTATGCAATTTTAATGTGTCCTTTAAAAACTGTATGTGCTTATTCTGTCTTAGATGGGCTTTGCTATCAGTAGGATTCATACTTCCTGTCATTCATATTAGTATTTAAGAAAGCTTTGGAGATACACCCAGGAAAGCTCACATTTTGTACAATTTTTCCCCTTTTAAGGTTTTTAGGAGAGTAGTTTCCCCTGACAGAGTGTTTGAAATATTTTGGTTTTCTATTCTGAATTTTGTATTGCATTGTAACACAGTGCTGACTGCAACCCTTAATATGCCAAATCCTGTAGTGCTTATCCCAGAAAATTTTCTATTAAAGGCTCCAGTGGGCCCTAACTCCACATATAGGATTTGGCTCTATAAATAGTCACAGCAGTTCAAATCATGAATTTAAATGGCAAATATAAAACTCTCCAGACAACATAAAGGCAGTAGATCTAGTAGTGCAGAAACATAACCCCATTCTAATTGAAATATAGTAATGTAAAGAAGCATCACTTATTTAATCTGATAATTTGAATAAAAACTTTGTATCCTGCATTGACCCCTATCCAAGGGTACCACCAGTTCACCAGTTCAAAAGACATTCCATTCACTCACTAACCACACCATGTGTTCACTTAAACAGCAGCAGCATTTGAACTGAGTCTTTCCCACAGAGGCTTTTTAGGGGACTCCCCAGTCAGTCCTCCCAGGGGAAACTTTCTGTCTGTACATGTACACCATCTTTATACAATCTGGACATTCTCCACAGGCAAATGTCTGCTCTTCTGAAACGTATTTGGGCCAGAAACACTGGTCATTCTTGAAGCGGTGAGTCCAGAGAAGATGATGATCTCCATCTCTCCTGCAGGGACTGCCTTTTCCAAAACTTTCAGTTCAAATACTGCATCCCACTAGAAAGAAATATCATGCTGAGGGGTAGAGATAATATCTGTTCCTTTTAGCTGCTATACCCACTACTTCCTTTTTGCTGTGCAACAGTTCATTTATTTGGCAGATCCAAGACTCTTCCTATGCACACTGTCCACCAGTCACTAGTGAAAATGGCACAGAACTTTTTGTTCACAACATTCTTAATGAAAATGATTAATGCCACTCCAGAATGCATTTGCATGTTCTAGGTTTCTTCACAACTATTTCTTTGATTTTCTTCTGACATTGTACAGTACTTTCTCCTGCAGTTATATGCAAATGAAAATGATATTAAGTTGACTCTTTCTAACTCTTTCACATTACAAGAATGATAAAAATTCTTCTTTTCTGTAAATAACAAAATTAGGAATCCTGGGGCATCTTTCCTTTTCTTCCTGATTTATTTTCGTTGAGTGCATGCTGTATTTGTTGATTTTTGTCACGGCAACCACAGTACCTCATTTTTTTCAAATTCTAAAGATTTCTTCCAGAACAGATACTAATAAATAGGATCTTGCATGGTTGTTTGGTGTCTATAGGTTTTACATGCGTGTTCTCAGGTAAGACTTCACAGCTGACTTCCTGACAATGCAATTTCACATCACCACACATTTGCCTTTCAGCTTCTCCTTCCTTTTCTGCTGCTTACTCTTTTTGCCATCAATCTGTAAACTCACAGTCCCATGCTTTCTCCAGGTTGAGCAGCTCCTGGAACAACTCTTTCACGTTGTGGTTTGTCTTGGCAGAAGTCTCCATGAAGGCACATTTCCACTTCTTAGACATGGCTTCTCCTTCACTGCTTTCCACCTCTCGCATTCTGGTTCTCATCGTTTTTGTTCCCCACCAGCATTATCGGAATGCTTTCGATGTCTCCTTTAATCTGGCATATTTGTTCGTAGATGGGCTTGAGCTCCTCCAAGGACTGCCGGCTGGTGATGGAGTAAACCAGGATGAAAGCGTGTCCTTTAGAAATGGAAAGACGCTGCATGGCTGGAAATTGATGGCTCCCGTCGTGTCGGGTTATCTGCAGAGTGCAGATGCTCTTGTCGCAGCTGATCACCTGGCGGTAGGTGTCCTCTATGGTGGGGATGTAGCCTCTCTGAAAGTGCCTTTCACGAACCTCAAAACCAGGGAACTCTTGCCCACTCCTCCGGTCTCCAAACACGACTACCCTGTAGTCGTTGCTTTGCTCAGGCATGTTTCTCTGGGCGCACCTGATCAGCTAGGGGGAAAAACCCTAGGAAAGAGAACGACAAAAGCAAGAAAACAGATGTTAATACAGGTACATGTGAAGAGTGCATGCTACCATATCTTTCCCAGTAAGAGAAAAAATGTGATGTAATTGATGGCATACCAGTTGTAGTGATTTAAGAAGATTTGCAGGGGGTTACAGAATTATTTTTTTTCGGGAGTAAATTTAGGGTTTGCAATCCAGTCTGGTAACAAATGACCTTTTTTACTTCCTCATGGCTGACTATAAATTTATATCATGAGTTTTAGTATTCTTTTCTACTCTACTAATATCCACAGAAACAAAAATTTGCATCTGGGATCTTCTAACAAGGCCAAGGCCCGAACAAGTTGTACAGACTGAATTACTCCTTCTACCTTTAAACAGGTTTTCTTCAATCATAGTTGAAATATGTTGGTGTACAGGTGTATACAGTCAGTTACTTTGAATGTGCTGTACCTTCAGTAGTTGCAGAATTTACCTCCACTAAAACTGGACAACTCCTTTGAGTGACAGCGAAGACATACTGGCAGATTATTCATCAATAGCACAAGATTGCTTTGTTTTTAAATTCTGTGGGAGTGTGAGCCCCACTTCAATGTGTTCTTCCACTTGCATTTCAGATCAAAGAGTACATTTTGATAAACTCAGGTTGCTCAAATTCAGTCTGCCTTTTCATTCTGATATTTATCTTGCAGTACAGGATATTTAGCATGACATATGCTACGCTTTTCGGAGAGGTTGTTTTTAGTTTTTAGTTTTTAGTGGCTTGTACTGTAAAGGCTTGCAAGTGCATATGTCAAAGGTCACAAAATTCTGTGATTCCTGAAGTCAGTTCCCTTGACAAAACCCGTCTGTGAAGAGTAGGACCACAAATACTGGCATAACTGTTAAATAACAGAAATGGTAAAGTTTTCACATGTTTTCAAGCTGTAGCTGTTTCAAAATTCATTGAAAAAATAAAAGTAAAGATGAATTTGCCCTCCCATTAGTAGCAGCTTGTTAGGTATACACCACACACAAGACTTTTTCATATTTAGTGAGATTTAAGCAAATAAACACTAAAAACTGAACCCTAAAATTGAAGAGAATCTAGGATATTGTTACTTTTCAGACCAGATTTAGATATATAGGTAGTACATGCAGGACAAACTGCAAAATTTGCTGAATCTGTATTTGTTCTTAAGAAAATGAGCTGTTTTAAAAGATGACCTCACCCAGGTACCTCAATGGCACCAAGTGATTAAATCTGCCTGCTGCAATTTTGCCTGGGTAGCAGTAAATCCAGAACAACCCAAAAGAACTTCTTTCCTTTGAAGGAAAGCCTTCAAGATATTTCTTCAACGCACCAGAAGGAGTGATTGCATTGCAGGGTGGGATTTTGAGTTACCTTTAACCTGTCTAGCAGCAGGAGAACAGTGATGCCCTAGCGATATGGATGTTAGTGGACCCTCCATGACCTTGTCTCGGTGGCAATCTCACACCTAAATTTTTTGCTTCTGCGTTTTGATGCTGCTGCTGTTTGTGCCACTTCAAGTTAAGCTACAGCAACCCATGCTGCACTAATGTCTTCATTTTGTTGTTCAAGCATACCCTCATTTTGTCATCCTCCTTGTCCAGGGCATCCTATGCTGTCCTAATTCTAATGCCTGAGTAAGCTGAAAACATCTGTCTTTACATAATGTGTTGGGTGAAAGAGTTGTGCTTCCTCATTTGCTATAGGATAGGCAGAATAACCAGTGCACCCTGGCCTGCTGATCCCGAGGCAAAGTGGAGAGCTGTCACATCTCTGCCCACCCAGGCTGGGGTGCAAATTGATGCCTAAAATGGAAGAAAAATTCTCCAAAGAGTATTAGCAGAGTTAAGGTAGAGACCAGTTCTTCAGTGAAAGCTTTCAGGTGCAGGCAGTCCACCACAGAAGGTAAAACTTTACCCCCTCCATCTCTCCAGCCACTGTCACTCTGAGAAACTTGTTTAAATACAGGAAAGACGGATAAATAGGAGTGTTCATCCTGAGGCATTGAAGCAAAATTGGTTTTCTGAGACTAGAATTCAAGGAATGGAAAGGAAAGGTAGCCTCAGAAAACATGCTGATGTATGTATTTACAGAAGAATGAAAACCCTCTGAGGAAGAAAGAAAATGGGTGAGCAGCTCATGATGTTAAGAAAGAAATAAAAAAAGAAAACCAACACAAATCCACCAAAGTAGCGGGAAAAATTGAGGAGGAACAAGAGGAAGCTAGCTGAATGCTGTTCCACAGAGGATAAATCTTCACCTAAGAGCTGCAACATGCAGTTTCAGAACAGTCGTAGAGTTTACAGCTGTGGATGACTGCACAGAATGAGCTATCATAAGAATTATAGTTTAATAATTTCTTGTGAGAAACAAGGCAAGAGAGGAAAACCTGGCTATTCCACCTCAGAAGCAGCTGAAGCATTGCTCACTCATATAATATGCTGTCTAAGAACTATGGGACAAGGAGAAAAAACGAACAAGGAAAATTTTTACTAGGAAAATCAGTGAAATGTGGAGCAGAGAAATAAAATTTTAAAAGCTAGCTGAGTGTACTCCTGCTTTATTACACCTTATGCTTTGAGCATACTCAGAAATCTCCAAGAAATCTGCCACATATGGTAGCCCAAAAGATAGAACAAATTGAAATGTGGCACTTTGTGGCACAAAGAATTAAGCATATAAAAAACTTCTAAGGGATCCTGAAATGACATGGTAATGGTCCTCAAAACATAGCAAGTCATTGCAAAAAGGGAGAGTGTACATGTGTAGTGGGAAAAAAAAAAAAAAGCATTAATGGGCTCACATTGTGAAAGAGGTGCACTTTAGACATTTGGAAAACTTTACAGTGGTAAGAAGTGCAGACCTATTGCTTAGGGAGATGTTGTTTCATCAGCTTTCAGTATTCTGGTCAATGTGGGTATGGAAAAATTAACTTGAGAGAAGTCTGAGTTTTCAGATGTACAGGATCATTTCTGATTCATACTTTGAAAACCTGTTTCATAATGTGCACATTAAAAAGAAATGCTTTTTACGCACTGAAAGTTACTTATTCTGTAATAAAGCCTCATTTGCTGCTTTTGCTACTTTCACAACCTGCATCAGTTGGCATTTACTATTATCCCCTGAAGTGTCAGTTTAGCAACACTATCTTCACTTAAAAAGGCAAAGTACTTTCCGTGACATGCACCCACACCCTTAATTTTTTAATTGTCTGATTGCAAAGTTCAGCAAATCACTGAGTCTGCACCTCTGCTGACAGCTCTGTTCCCTGTTAGCACAAGGCTTGACTTGCTGTAGTTCAGCTGCTGCAGGTGAACTGGATGGGATATTCACAGGGACAAACCACTGCCTCCACTTCAGACTCAACCGCAGACCTTTGTGTTGGTCTGCATGCTTTCCCCCTTTATTTCTGACATGCCAGGTAGAAGAACTGCAGGGCTGCTCTGACAGAAGGACGCAGCTCAAGATCTGAGCCATTTTAATATAAAATCAGTTATTTTAATACGTAGTGGTAACAAATATATGCATTTAAAATGTTTAAACAAAGCAGTTCACATTATAGATTATGTTCTTTATAGCCCAAATTCATCATGTTCTTTGGCTGACTAATTACATGTAGGTGTATTAAAATTAGCTAAATCAGTGTTTCTGATCCTGTATTTAGCCACTGGATCTCCAGAATTATTTTTGATTTTTTTTTTTCTGTTTTAACTCTTCTATCAATTGCATTTATAACTTGCCTCTTATGTTTGCATTTAAGCTATAGATAACATATACAATAGGAGGTAAAAGGAATAGGGTGGCTGAAAAATATCTTCTGACAATTAGTCTACTTAAATACCTACTCTTAGAGTAACATGAGATTAGAATCTCACAGCTGGTGAACTCTTTCAGATTATACTTGAAAATAAGTACAAAAGACCAAAACAAACAAAACAAACAAACAAAACAAAACAAACAAACAAAACACCCAAACAAAACAAAACAAACAAACAACCTAAAAACACTCTCCAGTGTTTCCAGTCTTGGGTTTTGTTGCAAAAGATTTTCACCACGTTTGCATTGTGAGACTACTATGAAATGTCACAGGTTTGTTATTTTTCTTACTAGATGGTATCTTTTAGTGTAGCATTCATTTTATAAAACAACATCATTGCTTTCTGGAGTCAGAGGCTTTGACCACATCTTAACTTACACAGTTATTGAGGTTTTATCATGTCCCACTGAGATGTCAGTCTCATGTGATATACAGCAATTTTTGGATGTTGGGTATTAATTTCCTGAAAATTCTTTTTTCCTCAGGTAAGACCATCTCATGTCAGCCAGTGGTTTTTGTTGGGTTTTTTTGTTTGTTTGCCTGTTTTAACTCTAAGGCAATGTCTCTGTTTATATTGTCACTGTTATTATGAAAATTCAATAAAGGACAAGCAACGTTTTTAGTTCAAAATCTTTTCTCAATTTAAATTAGCAGTCTTTCCAGGCTATCCAGCGATGACACCACTATACAAAGATACAAGGTTCAAGGTGAAGAATGCACCTATAATTAAAATGGATTTCAGCATGGCTGTAAGGTTAATGCACATTTCAACATATCAAAGGTGAAAAATGTCTCATTATTTTTATAAAATATAGAAAGAGAGCTCTGAAAGAAGGTTTTACTTGTTGCACATTATGTATATAAGCAGGCACTCCCTGGGGAGTATTTTCACTGTATCTACTAATGAGCATGGGCTTCAAGAATGGGGACTTTCCTACTTCCAGTGTCTTCATTTTTTAATAGAAGACTGGCTTTTCCATCCTTTTTCTTTTCTTGGCTTCTTTGGTCTTTTCAAGTCAGTGGAAAGTTGGACACATTTGAAGACCAAATGTGAACTGTTAAAACGGCTTTTTCTTGCAACATGAGGTTCTAGTCCATATGGAAAGAACTTTTTTATTCTCATGCTGAACAAAA